GTCGACGTTTTGACAACCCTTTGCTGTCGTTTTTAAGTGATATTGACTTAATATGAACCAGGAGGTGATGAACGCTATCTTAAAAAAAGACAACGAAGGGTTGTTGAAACGTGGACAAAGTTTCCATAAATTTCTTTGGAGTAAATTTATTTTCGATCAACACGTTGTTTTAATTTAAAAAATCAAGTGGATTGTTACTTCACAACCATACTAGTTTATTCTCGCGGAGCGAGTCATAATTTTGTCGGGCGCAGCGCGCGCGGTTCACTCGAGGACCGCAAGCGGAGTGCAATTGGCTCTATTTTCGTTGAGATTGACCAATTGGCGTGGGTGGGTGGGTCGTGGGTGATGATAGGTGATGCTTTGTGGATAGTGGCTCTTCAAGAAGACTCTTGCTTCTATGTCGTTGGACGAAAAACCTTCCAGCATGTTTTTAAATTGAATTAAGCATTTAGTTTAGGGAAGACTATTCCTTAAAACAAATTATGACCAATCATCACCATTTAAACACTTCACTTCTATTTTATTGAGAGCAAACGGTAGTCTGTGTAAAGACGTTTTAACTTGAACACAGGGGCACCCAACGACTCTTATCTGTAAACTATTTGTTCGGAGAATTAAGCAAATAATATCATAGGCGACGAATTACTCCTTAATTTTGGCGCGAAATTTCAGCGTTAATTTGTAATTTCACATGTGAAATTACAAAATTGCCATGGCAACCCTTCCGTACGTCTCAGTGTCAAGATGGCGACGAAGTTTTAAAACGCCGTGAATGAAGATGTCAGGGCACAAAAAGACCCTTTAGAAAACCGGAACACACAAGAGAACATCAAGAAGGATTCTAACAGGTATTTTGCCGAAAAAGTCTGAACTTTATAAGCCAAAGGTACATGTCAAAAATCCAAGATTGCTAACGTAATTCGTCACCCATGATATTAAAGGCTCGAGAAATTATTACGATTTGGACAAAACGCGCGTGAAATTATTCCCTGATTTCACTCGTCACCATTTGATTACACATACTAATATTGCCTAGAACTTTCTATTACCCGAGGACGGCTAAAAATTTCTAGATTATCATGACCATTCCATTCATGTACAATTTTTGCAGCTTATCTGATGAATTCACTATGATTTTCTAAGTTAAATTTTTCACATTTCACTTCCAGCCTCCTCCTCAGGCGCTTCGTTTTTCGCATGGCAGAGGCGAGCGCGAAACGAGTGACAGGTGATGAACCGCAAGGGACCATGGGAAGGGTACAGACGGCACGTTGTCTCCTTCCCGCCTTCCTTTGCGCGCACATTTTCATCAAAAGAGAGACGTCTGGGTACGAGGCAGTTTCACTTCCCAAAGCAGGCTATTTTTCGTAGACAAAAAGGAAACCTAAAATTTTTGGATTCCAAAATGTGGTGGAGAGAGGAACCAGAAAAAAAATTCATTTTCGTAATACGTTAAGGTGGCTCGACCCAGTATTTTTGTAGGTACACCCTCCATCTTTGAATCTCTTAGACTTAAACAAATTGAACATTACTGTCAGAAAATTATAGCATGTGTATTACACATAGATTTAACTTTATTATGATATTATTTTTGAGGCGATCGGAATAAATATCACGTGACAATGACGTGACAATAGTTTAGCTATAAATAGAATTAATTACTGCCCTTAACATCATTTTCTTAGGAAATGCTTCATGTTACGTATACTTTGGGTGCTTGTCTTCTGGTGTGCAAAGTTTCACAAAAATCTATAACAGAAATTTCTAGATATCTTTGAATTTCTACAAAAAGGTATAAATTATGCATGAACTGATGGCTGGACTTAATGTAGACAAATTTGCTACTTTTTGGACGCTTCCGACAAGTTTTTATTACTCATTCGTTTTGCAAATGACCTTTATACACTCTACAACCGGCTATACGCGATTTGAAAAAAAAACATGAAAACATGTTAATCAGTAAAACGCAATGCTGAGCCTTTTTTGTACTTTCTAAGGCTACTTTTACGAAAACGGCGATTAAACCAAAATTCGTCGTTAGATTTTCTGTTAAAAATTTCAGTGTTGCAGTTGATCAGTGTACTATAAAATTCCCGAATTTCGTGTCCATTGAAAAATTTTTAAGTTGTCCAACGTGGGCGCAAAATAGAGGAAATATTGAAGCAATGTCACAGATCTGGCTAAGTTGGGATTTCCTTTTGTCGCGAGACTCTTTTGGACGGTATGGCGCAAACACGTGCATATCACGGCTCCGTTGCAACGGTCTTATTTCTACTCTTACAATTGTTTCGCTGTTTTCTACTTGGTCCTGGCCTTCTTGGAAGAGAATATAATGATCTTAATGTATTATCGGATTCAGAAACCGAGCAAACCAGACCAGTGTGTATGTTTCTGATGTCATCCATTGGTGCAAATTGCCGCCATCGCCCAAATTCC